GGGACAGAAATTTTCGAGTAACCAGGACGTGATGTCTGCTGTAAATACCTGGTTGGAGGACCAGAACAAAGAATTTTTTTCAACTGGGATCCGAGCATTGGAGCACCGCTGGACTAAGTGCATTTCAGTTCAAGGGGACTATGTCGAAAAATAAAAAAAAAACATTCCGCTACGCACAGTCTTTCACTCCCAAAATACGAACTTTTTGATCGCCCCTCGTATACTGGTGTCACAATTCTACAGGAGGCTGGTTTCTGATCCCCCTCATAAGGAAGCTGTTTTTTTTATTTTGTTGTTCTCACTCTTGGGTATCTCAATTGTTTTCGAGTTTGGACTCCACCCATGCGAAAACATCTACAATGGTATGATGACAGCAGGTGAGACACATCACTCTTCAAGTTGGCAAGAATTGTGTCAATTGTAATTTGCATATGGTTTAGTACTTTCTGTTTGTACTTGGAAGCAGGTCTTCCAGATACTTGTGCCAGACGTTTGAGCGCACTAGATACCAGACCGCAGGCTTCCTTCGATAGGACGTCCCCCATAGATTGGAAGTTCGTAAATCAAAGCTCCACAAAGTTACGAATGGCGTCAAGGCTTCCAGCGGCGGATCGAAGGAGCTGTACTGCGAAGAATGATCTTGAGAATACCTTCTTACATGCAATTTCTATTTGAGATCGAAAGCTCAGCGTATCGTCGATGATGACACCAAGATATCTTGCTTCGCGAACCGGAGTGATCTCGAAGTCATTCTCTGTCAGTTTCGCGTTGAGGAGGTGAAGCATTTCTACCTTTCTTAAACCGGTGTTTGAGAAAACAAGCTCTTGACGCTTATCAGGATTGAGAATTAGATCATGTTGTGCTGATCAATCGACAATCCTTCGGACTTCCTCAGAGTATGCCCGAAGATCTCCATCGTTCTTTATAGGCGCAACAATAGCAGTGTCATCTGCGTGTTTCATGATTATTACATTCTCTTCGGAGGAGCGTAGAGTGGTTGTTATTCGAGTGAATTGGAAGGGGCCTTAGACGGACCTTGTAGGACGCCTGTCCGACATGGCAAAGGAGAGATGTTTTTACCATATGAAACAGATGAGCTGTTCTCTGTTAGATAACTGTGGACGAGGCGTAATAGCCAGGATGGAATTTTCCTCCCTTCATTTAATTTATCAAGGAGATGTTGACGGTATTGAAAGCCCAATTGTAGTCGAGCATGGAACAGCTGATTATCTGAGTCTCTCGAGAATCCAGGTCTTCTAGAATGGTGTGGAGAAGGCACACAAGCCCATCGTTCATCGATCTAGTTCGCTCGTGAGCGAATTGCCTTTTACATGGCGTTTCTGACGCTTTAAGATAAGAGAGGATATGGTATTCAACGCCTTTGAGTATCGGGCAGGTGCTTCCAATAGGTCGAAGATCTTTATGCGCCGTTACTGGGCTCCTCTTAAGGATTGGGTGATTTTGACCCTTTTCATGAAACGTGGAATGGATGCGGATGGAAGCCATGTGTTATATATCTGCGTCAGGGGGCTCGATAGTTGACTTGCACAATTTCGTAGCAGCCATGATGGTATTCCATTCGCCCACAGGATATATCGTTTTTTAGTTTCTTCATAAGCCCTATGACATCGAGCTGAGAAGTGGAGCATCGCTCTCTTCGATGAAAGCAGGTAGTGTAGGATCATCATCAGCCTCCTCAAAGCGAAGGAAGAATTAATTGAGTTCATCGACCTTGAAGTCAGCAGTTGTCATTTTTTGTGTAGTGCGGGACAACCTATAGAGTCTCTTTACATTTTCCCAATATTCCTCAGATCTTTCTCAATTGCAATTGTGTGAGGAGCTTGGCGTTCAAACACCTTGTTTCCTCGAGATCCTTGTTATTCCAGAGATGGAACAGGCCATCATCACCTGGTATGAGAACCTTTTCTCTCTGCCTGCGGGCATAGGTGGTGATGTCATTGTTCACATGCTCATAATTGATTTTCACCTTGATTACCCCCCCCCCCCCCTCATTACTGATCGATTATCAACCAGATTCGACGTATCTCTCGATTCTGCTGCACTCTGTTTTCCCAATATTTGGGAAAGGACGATGAAGAAAGACTGCATTGGAATACACTGATATTAAATGGTCCAAGAAGCTGGCTATTAGCAGCAGTAACACACGTCGATATGCGCCGTAGCTATCTGCTTTTGAATGTTAATTGATGAGGAAGAAAGAGAAGGAGATGGAGCATATGTGAGTGACTGTGTGTGTGCATGTGTGTGCGCGTGCATGTGTGTGCGCGTGCATGTGTGTGCGCGTGCATGTGTGTGTGTGTGTGCTTGTGCGTGGGTATTTCTCAACATTCCGGTAGATGGAGATAGCGTGCCAACCTTACTAATTCAATACGCTTTCCTTATCTACTGACTTTTCTGAGAAGAAACGTTGACTTGTTCCCGTTTCTCACTTAGGAACAGCCTGGTTCATAGTGAAATCGAACCTCATGGATAATTTCAATGGAAAGGGAAGAGGAGGGATGGCTGCGGAATGGCGGGATGGGGCACGGTGGGAAGAAGGGAAGATTGCCTAGGGTCACCGGGACGACACGAAGCATAAACTTACCTGACCGGGGAGAAACGGTGATCAACCAGGCCGTTCAGGGTCCCACTCCGAAAAGGTAACGTGAAGCCAACTCGACTGGGGACACTGACGGGGTTTACGCCCATCCAGTTGCCAGCAATTTTTGCCTTTGGGGAGTCTGCGTTCGCGCGGATTCCCTGACAATATCATAAAAGATTTCAGCGTTAAAGAGATGTTATTCTGTGCACGTGTCAATGCATGTATTTATTAAGACACATGCTGAGACGAGATGGAATCCCTTAATACAGTTTATTGTCCGGAAGTGAAACGAAAAGTAGATTGGCTGCACAAACGCATTTACATTTTTCCCGTGTCACAACGGGGTATACCATTCTGCGCAAAGCACCCTCGAAGAGCCCTACCGAAGGCGAGACAAATCCTTTTTCTCATCGAAATCGGATCCACAAATTTTCTCAACGAGAGCTTTTGACTTTCCAAACGAGAGCTTTCAAGTAGGCCGCTCTCAAATACCCTCAGATTCAGGTGCCGTGATGAGCACGTGCATGCATCATTTACTTGAAGTACTCTCCAGTGCCGGTACAAAAATATTGAAGAAGGCGATACGAAACGATCCCCGCAATTAGGCATCGATTCTTGTCTTTCCCTTTGGGAGAAGAAAGACAAGAGTCCATCGATGAAACTAGTGGCCTCTCCCAAGAGTCGCTTCGAATGCAAAAAATAAGCTTGCTTAGAATGAACGCTTGAATTGCCTCGAATGCAAACAAGCTTGAATGTCTCTTTTTGGGTCTTCAGTCTCTTTGTGATGATTTCAGAGCGACATCAGTCCATCGAGGAACTTCAGAATCGGCCATGTCTGCTCATTTTTGGCTCATTATTTTTCGATTTGAATGCAGTTGATCTTCACTTGGCTATGAAAGCTTAGGACCAGAAATTCAGCCGCGCACTGGATCTTCCGAATTCAATCCATTGGACACGGCGAGAGGAGAGAGCTCTCTGGATTTTCCTCACCTTTCTCTGCTACCTTTTGAGAAAACCGGAAATCTCACCGTGAGACCAGCAGGATTTTGAGTTCCACTTCATTTCGTCTTTTGACAGGTTAAACGTCATTTTAAACAATGCTGTCCTCTCCGATTTGCCGAAGCAGCAGTTTGCTCCAAAGGACCAGCAAGTTCAGCAAGGCAAGAAAATTTTCAGGTATTAACTCCAGTCACAGTCGTCCTCCATTCTGCTCTTGCAGAAACAAATAACTCAAGTGCCAATATTCTCTGCTTCATGGAAATCAGGAATTGAGGTTTATTGGGATTTGCGAAGTGGGTTGAGGATTCAAGAACTTTGAGAACCACTGACATACGTGATTAACCGTTACCTCGTCACCTAGGAGATGTAGAGGCTGCCACTTCCGTGACTGGCTTTAAGGAAAGACTAAATGTCATAATGGGCATAAAATGGCAATCAATATCTCTGCCTATAACTTGAGGATTCCGCGGTACCTTCTACCGCAGACGATCGATACGATATGGCAACACTTACGGAATGTCAAGGTCCCTGCGCAGCGCGCGGAACAGGAACAGTCCGGGAACGGTTCTGCTGGAGGATCAATTGAGGAGTTCAGCTGGTTATAGGCGTGTGTATTGCCGAGGTCGAGGAGTTGCAGAGGAAAGGATAATATGGTCAGAACAGGAGACAAAATGTTCGTCCTCAAGCGAGGTGAGGTGCATGACGTTAGGCCTAGCAGTTGAGGCTGCGGTGATAAGGAAATTAATTTTTAATATTGTTAAGCACGTGCTCATATGCCTCGTGTCATTTTCTTTTAAGTTGGAGATTACATATATATATCACTTACCCTATTGGTAACATTGCAGATATTACTTAGTCCAATGGAATTTGAGGTATGAATTCATTTGCAAATCGCTCCCAGCACTCAGATCCAGAGGAGATATAAATTTGTACCTTGAAGGTTGTGCTATGAAATTATTTGTAAATCACTTCATTTTCAATTTTTGCCTTGCTTAGTTCTCTCAGTGAGCTTCAGCATAGCAGTTCCTTATACGATCATTTTCATTTGTTTTTGTAGATGGGCGACAGGAGCCAGTGCACTTTGACAAAATCACTTCCCGCATCCAAAAGTTGTGCTATGGTCTCAACATGGACTTCGTTGATCCAGTGAGTGGGATTATTGCTCACAGAAAGTACAACCCATTGACCTAGCATTGATACAAGTTAAAAGTGGTAAGATTCGAGAGGGAAATTACTATAGGACAATGATGCATACTGCATTTTATGTTGCTGATTCTTGAAGCAGGCCTGTAAAAAGAAATTGATGTAATTCTTAGCCGTTCTGAATGAAACTATGTCCATTAGGGTATACATCAGCTTAGTTGTGAGGCTAAAATGGGCCTTGAAGAATGATTTTGTGGTATGGTAAACCACGATCAAAGGAAGTGCCAAAGTATTTCTGTTGACATTGTATCTAGTTCTTATTCTTGGTTCTTCCTTCCTTGATGAATCCAAGTGAGCGGATCAACAGGGAGATTCCATGGTTTGAAGGCTTTTCATTTACACTCAGCATTCAAGAATGAGCTCCTATTAGATGGCACAGGAAAAAATTGTACCTATTCATTTTTAGGACTATATGGCAATACCTGTAAATGCCATGGGAGTGTGTTTTGAAAGTCAGAAATTTCTCCAAGTCTCATGAGGATTTTTGTCATGGATTCCATGACTGTCAACAGCCTCGCAGCTGTTGAGCATTGAGTCTGCAATTAAATGGCAATTAGCTCAAGTTCTCGAAAAACCCATTTGGAGTTCTTCATAGTTACTTAACCAAAATTATCAGTAAACATACTTATTAGAAAGGACTGTATGTTTTGAATAGGAATTGTCTACATTGAGGAAAGGAAAGGGAAATCTCATCATCACCAACATTGGGACTTTCCTAGTGGGAGTGGGGCTATTATGAAGCACTATTTTCCATTTTGATACTTTTGAGTTATAAAAGAATATAGGAAGGTAAAGGTGAGGATGAAACATTTCAGGATGATGTCTTCCTCATGCAATGATACTGTCCCCTTACCTTTCTTATAGGGATCTAATGGTCTCTCCTTTTATGCCATCTCAGGTCAGACCATTAGTACCCAAGAATTATGTCTCCTTTTTCAGCTCATCCTGTTTCTTAATTAAGTCTTCTACTCATCCTCATGAATTCAATATGTATTTCATATTGTGAAGGAAAGCTGACTGGCAAGTGGCATGCATGGTAGCACAGAATTCTGTAGGTCCCAGTTCTGCTTGGGATGCATAGGTCACGTTCTTATAATTGTGATTTTTACACTCACCCTTCACTAGAATTCACTACCTATGAAAAATAATGGAAAAATAAAAGAATTAACTCATTTTCTGCAAGATTTAATCATAATTATTTTATTCTTTTAGATTTTATCTTGTTACTGTAACTTGTTTTTTTATGAAAACTTAACCCCATTACAATCACTAACTGGATCATTAGGAGGCTAGGAAAAATGTAATATTGCCTTTGGTTCCCACAAATGAGAGAATCTGTTTCTAGTAAGGTTGTATGGAGTGAAATTGAACTGTTTAAGCATAAACATGTAACTATGACTCAAAATACAATGTGCTGATCTCAAGTGGAGAAAAGAAAGGAAACTAAGAGCTATCTGTGCCTGTAACTACATTCGGACTTGATAGATGATGTTTTTATATTATCTGCACAGCCTGCCATCACACTGAAGGTGATCAATGGTTTGTATTCTGGAGTCAGTACGGTTGAGTTGGACAACCTGGCTGCTGAAACAGCTGCAACAATGACAACGAAGCACCCTGATTATGCTATCCTGGCTGCTCGCATTGCTGTCTCAAACTTGCACAAGGAAACAAAAAAGAGCTTCAGTGGTAAGTGAACTTTTATTCTTTTCATATAGAGGCCTACACCTTGGCATGGAATGATGTGAGTTCCTAAAGGCTAATGCTCCTCCTCAACCTATCCAGATGTGATGAACGACCTGTATAACATGATCAATCCTCATACGAAGAAACCTGCATCCATGATCTCAGATTTTCACCACAAGATTATCATGAATAATTCAGATCGTCTTAACTCAGCTATCATCTATGATCGAGACTACAGCTATAATTACTTTGGTTTCAAGGTATGTCATTGCCCATAGCTCACTTACCAGTAATTTATGTTTCATAACTGATGAATTTTTCACAATTTAGGTAGATCATTGGATATGAACCACTATATCCCTTACCATTCAGCATATATTTTATATTTTTATCATTGCATTCTGCATGTGAAGTCATTGCAAATTTGATGCCTCACATAGTATCCATATCTACCAAGTATCTACAAAACATGTTTTCATTCCTCTTCATTAGACACTGGAGAGATCATACCTACTGAAGATTGATGGGAAAGGTAAATTCTGAATTTTAGAATACCTCCAAATTAAACTTTTTTTAAATTCCTTCTCATTTATATGCATGAGCAAGTTTCATATGTTACTGTTACTTGCAGTGTGTATTTAGTAGATCATGCACATTAACTTGCCTCCATTTATGTTCAATAATAAATTTTAACTAGCACTGAGCTCTTTTTAGTTTGAAACAAAGCATTTATTGTGTACTTATTCTCTCCTGGTTGAGATACTTCAATGCTGCATATTCTTGACCTGGCAGTTGCAGAACGACCTCAGCACATGCTGATGAGGGTAGCAGTAGGAATTCATGGAGAAGATGTTGATTCTGCCATTGAGACATACAACCTCCTGTCTGAAAAATGGTTTACTCATGCTTCCCCCACACTCTTCAATGCTGCCACCAATCGACCTCAACTTTCAAGGTATCACAATTGCTTTCAGCCATATGCTTCAGTGACAGTTTGAGAAAGGGCAATGCATCTCTGTTTTCATACTTTTTCCTGCTGTATTATCACACTACACCTTTGAACTTGAAATTAGTCAGGATAATAAGGGATGGTTGCCTATGAGAGCAGTTCTGTGGTTTTTGGCCAAGGTTGTAAGTCATAAACTAAAATTCCTATAGCCTGCTTTTTTATTGGCATGAATGAGTCATGGAGTCTGTGTTTATTTTGTTCCTTCAGCAATGTGGTCAAAACAGCATGATGCTTCAATTCATTCCAAACCACCTACCTCTCCAATTTGTAGGCTCAATTAGTATGATACACAATTTTGATATAGCTTTTGGGGAGTTCATTCTCTACAAAGACAATGTTTCCCATATGGAGGCATGCATTAATCCTCAATAGAAAAAATTGTTTGTGGCATTGCAAATTTTGAATAAATAAATAAATTGCAGCATGTTCCCCATTAAGTTTATTTTGGCTCATTTATTGAAGTTCAAGATCAACATGTTAAGCTACTATTCAGTTGGCAGGCTTTTTTATTTTTAGCTAATAATTAAAAAAAAAAGCACCTTTATAGGCACCCATCATTAGAAATCATTTTTATCTGCCAAAAATTTTCAAATTAAATTTTACAATACTGAATCATTGGTTAGTCCTAAACTTAAACTCCCTCTTTGATCTGCTAAATTAATGACCTTTGCAGTTGCTTCCTGCTCACAATGAAGGATGACAGCATTGAGGGCATATATGACACATTGAAACAGTGTGCTCTGGTCTCAAAGTCTGCTGGGGGCATTGGAGTCAATGTTCATTGCATAAGAGCAACTGGGAGTTACATTGCTGGGACTAATGGAGTTTCCAATGGTCTGATACCCATGCTTCGTGTCTATAACAACACTGCCCGATATGTTGATCAAGGAGGAAACAAGGTCTGTTTTAGCATTTTTTCTGCAGCTCTTTCCAACATTATTTTTTGTTTTCTGGAGAAACCAAACTGATGATGACATTATTCTTATAGAGGCCAGGGGCATTTGCAATCTACTTGGAACCATGGCATGCTGACATCTTTGAGTTCCTGGATTTGAAGAAGAACACAGGGAAAGAGGAGGCACGTGCCAGGGATCTCTTCTATGCCCTATGGATCCCAGATCTGTTCATGAGACGTGTGGAACAGAATGAAGATTGGTGCCTCATGTGTCCTAATGATTGCCCAGGCCTTTTTGATAGTTGGGGGGAGGACTTTGAGAAACTTTATGAAAAGTGAGTTTCAGTTATAGTTAACCACAGTTGATATAACTGGCTAACCCTTATCTCATTCTAGATGAAATGCTTATGAACTTTTGGTGCCTTTGGTCTTCTGTTTTTACTACACATTTCCTAAAATGCTATGGTCATACAGATTAATTGTGCTCAGAACCCTTTCATCATGCTTACAAATGCAATATGCCATCATTGAAGTATGTGGGAAATGTACTCTCATTCCAACCATGTCATATTTGACCAGTCTGATTCCACTACAACTTAGAGACTTAAAGAGTTTTTAATGCTTTCTTTCTGCTCTAGTACTTAATTCAATGGATATACAGTATTTCAAATTTCCCTGAATAATCAGCATTGCTGAATGAAGATTCAGTTTTTGTTTCATGGCAAAGTGATACCTTGATACTGTATTTGATTTTGTCAGTTCTCATTTTGCAATTGAGCCTAACAGTGAATTAGCCAATGAAGAAGACAAGAGTGAGGAACAGGAGGCTTATGATGGGAGGGCATTTACTAACATGAACTATGCCTTTTCCAGGTATGGAAAAGCAGCTGAATTTCTTAGTTTCATGAATAAATAATACACCCAGTGCTTTAGAGAGGTAGGGATAAATATGATCACCAAGTATTACACATAGACTTGTATGCAAACTGAAATTAATCATGTTAACTCCTTCCTTAACAACTACTGTCAATTTTATTTATTTCAATTGTGAGTGACTGTAAATGTATTAATTTGAAGCTAACAGTCTCATGACAGCGTGCACAAATTGCTTCATTGTGTCTATTGTAGAGTAGTTTCTCCAGCCATTTAATAATGAAAATTTTATTTTGCACTTGCTCAAAATGATCTGAGGTAATTTTTTTAATTGGTGATAAAATGGTGTAGAAATTACTTCTGTAAGCACTCATTTCTTGAACTCTAATAACAGAATGTTCTTCCTTTTTTTTTTACTGTGTTTTAATTTCACTATGCAGCAAAATTGAAAATAAAAAAATAACAGGTTTTTTGTGGGAGAAGGAGTTGGGAAGCAGATAAAAATGGTAGATTTCGATTTTTTTCTCATAATAATGGAACCTCTAATCAAGAATTTCGTCAATCACTTTAATCCACTTTTCAGCCCTGCTATGTAGCATACCTAACACTAGAACTACCGGAGCAGTCAATTTGACCACTGCATTAAAAGTAGTATAAAACTATTATCTGTACCATTTTATTTGCTTTTTCTAAATGTTATTTGGTATGTTCAAAATGTTGACCTTAGTTGCCAAATGAGCTGTAAAGTGCATTAAAAATCAATAAGTAGTCAAATTGACTTCCTCAGTAGTTCTAGTGTTAAATCTCATTTAAATGTGAATGTAGGTATGAAGCTGAGGGAAGGTATCGTCGAAAAATAAAGGCTCAGCAGCTATGGTTTGCTGTCATTGAGAGTCAGGTTGAAACTGGAACACCCTATATGCTGTATAAGGATGCCTGCAATCGTAAGAGTAACCAGCAAAATCTGGGAACAATCAAGTGTTCCAATCTCTGCACTGAAATTGTGGAATACTCTTCTCCTGATGAAGTGAGTATATTACTATTGCTGTAGATTAATATTATCATTTGAAGAAATCAATTACATATTTTTTCATGATGCAGTAGTTCCTTTGAAAAAATTTGATAATTCCTTAGGTGGCTGTTTGCAACTTGGCTTCAATTGCCCTGAACATGTTCGTTCGTCCAGACCGGACATATGACTTCAAGAAGCTGAAGGAAGTCACGATGGTTGCAACCCGAAATCTGAACAAGATAATTGATGTTAACTACTACCCTGTCCCAGAGGCAGAGCGATCAAACAAGCGACACCGTCCTATTGGCATTGGCGTTCAGGGTCTGGCTGATGCATTCATCCTAATGCGATTCCCTTTTGAGAGCCCAGAGGCTCGGGACCTCAACAAGAAAATCTTTGAGACCCTATACTATGGAGCATTGGAAGCTTCTTGTGAGCTGGCTGAGAAGTTAGGTCCTTATGAAACCTATGAGGGTTCACCAGTCAGCAAAGGGGTGAATATGTCTTCTTATTCTCATTGCTTTTTGCCTCAATTTTTCACATATGATATTGTAATATTGGCAATACTGGTATATCACTGATGAAAATTGTGCATAATTAATTCTTATACCAGCAGTACTGTAAATACTGTTACATTGATATTTGCAAAACTGTGATGTGCAGTATTGGGATATTAGTGGTGTGTGCTTTACGGTACCTCCGTCAGAATTTCATGCCTGTGGCTTCCTAATTTCTTGAGGTGCTGCAAAAATTTAATGAGGTGTCTCATCTGAGCCATCAAGTGTAGGGTCTGTACAATGAGGACTTTATTTTCTTGAATGTAGTTGTTATCAATCCAAGAGACATGTGGAACTTGTGTCAACCTGGCACTCAGGTCTGGTTTGGTATTGTCTCTAGGAGGGATTTGTTGAACAGACTTGACTCCCACTTACCCACAGGAGAATATTGACGATAATGTTGTATGCAGCATTGCATCTTAACACTAAACAGTGTGGTAGGAAAGTGAAATAATTGAAAGCTTACCAATTTATTAATGCTCTTCATGCTGTTCTTTTACATATACATGTTATTTATGGATGCATACTTGATTCCTGGTGATGTGCTTAGCATAACTTGGTTTCTCCATATTTTCGATGCTTCATGCTCAAAGATATAGAAAGTAGTATGTTGAAATTGCATGCCTTTCATGCTGCCTTGTGCAATACATGTAGATCCTTCAGTATGACATGTGGGAAGTGACTCCATCCAATCTGTGGGACTGGGCTTCCCTCAAGGAGAAGATCAAGAAACATGGAGTGCGGAACTCTCTCCTCCTGGCTCCCATGCCCACTGCTTCCACTGCCCAGATCCTTGGCAACAATGAGTCCATCGAAGCCTACACATCAAACATCTATGCTAGACGAGTCCTCTCTGGAGAATTCCAGGTTATATTGCTGCTTTGCCTCATTTATTTTGATTAAATGCTCTGTGGCGATTCACACTCTAAAAGAACTTCTTTCTTTTTCAGATTGTGAATCAACACCTTCTGAAAGATCTTACTGATCTTGGAATATGGTCAGAAGACATGAAAAACCAGCTTATTGCAGCCAATGGATCCATCCAAGTATGTTCCAGTTCTCCTGTTATGGTTGCTAATTTGACAATTTCAAGTTGATTTCAAGTTATTGTTTTCTTGAAGGACATAGAGCAAATTCCTGAAGACATCAAGCATTTGTACAAGACAGTATGGGAGATATCACAGAAGGCAGTGCTGGAGATGGCAGCTGAGCGGGGAGCATTCATCGATCAGAGCCAGTCGCTCAACATCCACATCTCTGATCCTAACTATGGAAAACTCACATCTATGCACTTCTATGCCTGGAAGCTTGTGAGTTAAGCATTTATGCAAGTAAACACTCTATATCTGGTATTTTATTGACCTTGACCTATTGACCTATTAATTGATATTTGGTCATCATCATTTGATTGCATTGTACTTGTTTTTTTTTAGTTTTTATTCAAATGAATAATGCTTTCCCTGGGAGAGATTGACAGCCATTTTACAATATGCAGGGGTTTCAGACTTCGTTTGACAGTATTTTGTCACAGATAAATCTTTGATTGTTGAATTGATTGCCTTTGTAGGGTTTAAAGACAGGCATGTACTACCTACGAACAAAGCCAGCAGCAAATGCCATCCAATTCACCGTGGACAAGACCAAGTTGCGCCAAGTCACCAGTTCCAGAGCTGGTCCTGGTCAGCAATCGCTCACCTCGAAGTTCAGTAATGGAGTCTCCTCTGATGATGAAAAAGCTCAACAAATGGCAGCGATGGTCTGCTCCTTGGAGAACAAAGATGAATGTCTCATGTGTGGATCTTAATCATGAATTCCACATGGTCCATGATCTCTCTGCATGCCAACGCTTTGCATTCCTTTATGCTCATTTTTCATTCTTGCTTTACGACTGGTTCTCAGGGTCATCAAATCATAATTGTTTGGCATGTCCAGTTTCAAGTGTCCCCATCCATGGGTCTTGATTCAACTAGCATCAAAGGTTTCTCTTTGTCTTGTCTAATGTCTTTCAGCTCTGATTCTGGAGTCTTTTTTGCTAATAAACATTTTTTAAAGTAAACTTTGTTTTTATTTACATCAAGAGTGTCAAACTCGATTAGGTTGGGGGGCAGATGGAAGCCTTCAGGCGTGATTAGGAGCCACAATAAAAATCTAACATCTAATTTTTATTGCAAATAGGCTGAAGTTTGCAGCACCTTTCCGTAACCAACTGTTGGAAGAGGATTTCGTGGACCGGACAAAATGGACTGGCAGGCCAGGGCCTATTCCACAGATTTACAAACTACAAGTTACAAGTGGAGTGGCTGTATTTACAAGTATTTGTATTTTCTGTTCCACAGAGTTTGCGCTAGTGCTTGTAAATTGAAAAGTACAAGGCACTAAAGTCAGCTCATATTACAAGTTCAGAATGCATTCCAGAGTTCTCTATCGAGTAGCACTTGTGGAATGACACCAATAGAGGTTTCATCAATGAAAGCGTATGGATATCTCATATAACGAGCTCAAATATGCCATCTCTTGGCCTGAAGGTAGAGTCTACGTATTCCAGATAGAGTGCATTCGAATATGCCCAACAAAGTGGAGAAGCTGTTCGAGTCCATTGGTAGTACAACAGAGTCCACACTTACATTTAAGGTTAATTCTATCATAGAGAACGCCAAGAAAAGTTATGATCATTCTTTAGCTGGCAATACTTGTAGTCAGGTATTTCATTTTCTGCGGCGCTGGATTTTATTCTTTCAAGTTTTTAGTGACGTAATCACATAAGCCCAACTCTATTGTATTGTACCACATTAAAACTATGCCTATATTGTCCTATGCAATGGTCACAACGGGTAAATCCATCGTCTCCGCTAGACACAGGAGTGCAGAAAATACATTTACCAAGCATGAAAGTCTTGTAGAAATTAGAGCTACGTACTTGTAAAACGTCTGACTAGAACAGAATCCATTTTCCCAAACTCAGTTCACTTGTAAATGGATGAACTTGTACCTGTAAATCTTCCTTGTACAATTTTCTTTTGTGGAACAGAAACTTGATTCTACAAGTAATAGACTTGTAACTTGTAAATCTATTGTGGAATGGGCTGATCGGGCTCGCAGGACGCCAGTTTGAAACCCCGGCTTCACGTGGAAGAACGCGAACAAGAAAGTTCTGCAATTGGCTAAATGTAGAAGTAGCTGGAAAGTGGAGGGATCTGAAAGAGGTTTTGGTGAAGAGTGCAGAAAACAACATTCGGTTCAGGAAACAAAGAGTAGCAAAGAAACCATGGGTTACAGATGGAATGTTACAAAAAATGGATGAGCGAAGGAAATGGAAAGATGTAAACACAGAAGAAGGAAGGAAGAGATACAAACAACTAAATAATGAGCTTAGAAGGGAAACCGATAAAGCTAGAGAGAAGTGGTGGAGTGAAGAATGCGCAGAACTGGAGGAGATGGACAGAAGGGGTCGGTCAGATCTTATGTATAACAAGGTGAAACAGATAACCCGACAAAGGAATGGAAGTATCAAGAGTAGTGTGATCAAGGATAGCAATGGAGAGTTGTTGACAGAGCCAGACAAGATAAGGAATAGGTGGAAGGAGTACATAGAGTTGCTGTATGGCAAGAATGGAAAGCCAAGGATGGAGGACTTTGGATTAGAGGTCGAAGAAGAGGTTGAGCTAGACAAGAAAGGGCCAGATTTGTTGGAAAGCGAGATCAAAGCGGCAATCAAGGAAATGAAGAACAAGAAAGCAGAAGGTGTAGATGGAATACCAGCTGAATTTTGGAAGAACCTCGGAGAAAAAGCAACAAGAGAATTGATAGATTTATGCCGAAGCATATACCAGCAAGGAGAATGGCCAGAGGATTTTACAAAGACGGTGATAATACCGCTACAAAAGAAGAGAAATGCAATAGAATGTGAAGATAACAGGACAATCAGTTTGGTAACGCATGCATCTAAGATCATGTTGAGAGTGGTGACAAGAAGGGTAGAGGCGAAGGCAACAGACTTCATAGGAATGACTCAGTTTGGATTCAGAAAAGGATGTGGGACTAGGGAAGCAATTGGAGTGATGAGGATGCTCTGCGAGAGGAACCTTGAACATGGGAATGAACTGTTTGTATGCTTTGTAGATTTTGAGAAGGCTTTTGACAGAGTAAACTGGGTGAAGATGTTGGAGATACTGAAGGAAATCGGAGTTGATTGGAGGGACAGGAGATTAATCAGCAAGCTGTACTTAGACCAGGAGGCAGTAGTTAGAATAGCAGATGGCGAATCGGAACCATGCGGGCTTGGCAGAGGAGTTAGACAAGGATGCCCTTTATCTCCAATTTTGTTTTCGATTTATGCAGAGAAGATGATGAATGAGGCTATGGAAGGGATTGAGGAAGGTGTGAAAGTCGGGGGGAAGCTGTTGAAGGATATACGGTTTGCAGATGACCAAGGCATGGTGGCGAGCACAGAACAAGGACTTCAGAAGTTATGCGGGCTTGGCAGAGGAGTTAGACAAGGATGCCCTTTATCTCCAATTTTGTTTTCGATTTATGCAGAGAAGATGATGAATGAGGCTATGGAAGGGATTGAGGAAGGTGTGAAAGTCGGGGGGAAGCCGTTGAAGGATATACGATTTGCAGATGACCAAGGCATGGTGGCGAGCACAGAACAAGGACTTCAGAAGTTGATGGATGGGTTAAACATGGTGGTCAAGAAGTTTGATATGAAGATCAATGGGAAGAAGACAAAGGTGATGAAGATGTCTAGGAAAGGAGGAGGAATAATTAACATTGTGATTGACAGCCAGAAAGTGGAACAGGTGAAAAAGTTTAAGTACTTAGGAGCTTTGATCACAGATGATGGAAAGTGTGAGGCGATCAGAACAAGAATAGGAATGGCAAAGGATGCTTTAAGCATGAGAAAGGAGTTATTAACAAGGAGGATGAACCAAGAAGTAAAGAAAAAGATAGTGAAGGCAGTGGTGTGGAGTGTGGCTTTATATGGGTCCGAGGCATGGACTTTGAGGAAGGAAGACATCAGAAGGTTAGAGGCTTTTGAAATGTGGGTGTGGAGAAGGATGGAGAGAATCAGATGGATACATCGAAGAACAAATGAAGTAATGGAAGTTGTTGGGGAAAAAAGAGGAAATTCCAAAAGAGGAAATTCAAAGTCCAAAATATAATTATTTCCACTTATATTTCCTTTTTACAACTTCTCAGTTGTTACCATTAGTATGGAAAGAGGGCAGTACTTCACTGACCTGCGACTGCAAAACTGGATTCATTATGCAAATCACTGGTTGCATGAGGTGATTCCTCTTCTTCTGCTGTCGAACCTGAAAACAGCAACAAATCAAGGATAAGGTTAATGTTGTATTTGTTGATAGGGCATTCCAAAAAAATGTGAGTAGTGAAGGCCAGAGACAGAAAGCACATTCACCCACATAGACCACATGGATTCTGGGTGAATTTCCGTCTTAGGCAAGGATACCCCACCACTCAGACTTGTTTAACCCTTCACTGCACCATGTTCAATAATGGGTATGTACAAGATTTATTTATATATATAGTGTATAATGGCTGAAGACTCACTGTGTGGTGAGTCTTCAGCCAACATACATATACTTTAAATGTTTGCTATTACTAACTTGGAACGTCACGAAAAGATTTGGTTAGTGCCAATGATGAGTAAAAAATATTTAGCTTTTTTCCTTGTAACTTTTAATATTATTTCCATATTCAAAAAGTTTGCCTTACATATTTTGTCTTATATCTTAATCTTTATCTGAATTCAAACAAGCTAGAGGTCAGATGAAGATGTTCTAGTTTCTCTCCATCTGAAAAGTTATCCTGTTTTGGCAGAAACCAAGAATTGCAATAAATGGCCACATTTTGAAAGTTTTATGCAAAATAAATTCTTTCAGTGCATTTAAATGTTTTCATTCAAGGCTCTCATGTATTGCACAGTAAAGGGTTAAATGCTAATACACTGAACTCTAAATCCATTTGAGTATACTCCACTGGAAAAAAAGTAAAAACTGACATTCATTCATCAATCCTACAGGGCATCAGATGATTTGGTCACGATTAACAATCCTCTACATTGTTTAACTCAAAGGGACCTCTTTAGTCAGCTTTTTTTTTTAAATCCTCTTGCAATCCTATCCCGTGTCACTCTGCTTCCACTTTTATCATCCAAAAATCCTGCCAAAATTATTCCCATGACTTCTGGGAATTAGTAGGACACATAAGGGCAAGTTTCAAGTAGGGTTTAATATACCTTTATGCCAAAAATAGGCCATTCCTTGCAAATTTGACATATGCACATCTTGGCATTAGGTAGTTGGACAGAAAGTGAATATTATGGATATCACCAACTGCCATCCATAGCCATGCAATACACTCCACCATTCCAGTGCTAACATGATTCCTTAATATGCACTCACACTAATAAAAGTTGATAATAAAAAAAGGCAGACTACTTGACTGGACTTTTCAATGTGTTTCTTTTTTCATTCCAGCTAGAAAAACACTACTAAGGATTTTAAAAATTAACAGGTGGCAACCAGAACAGCTAATCTCAACTGGACAACTTTATGGATGATGTCTTGAGGTCAGGCTCAGACCCTACCATACATGAAAACCAAGTATCATGTTTTTTCCTTGCATCCTTGAATTTAGGACTATTTCATAGAAATGTTCCCAGTTTGAACCCTGAGATCATCTCCAAGAGATTACAAAAACCAAACCCAACATCCAGATTGCCCTTATGACATGCTCCCAGTGAACCACTTTCAGAACTGTCAAAGCAATATTTTTTGTTATTCAATAGAAAATGAAAGAGGAAAAAAAGCAACACTAACACAGAAAAACATCTACTTTCCTTTTTTTTTTAAAAAGAGTTCCAAAAAAAAAAATTACAAGCAGCAGTAGTAAAGAGTACTTCAGCATCTCATGGGTAAAAGCCATAAACATACAGCCTTGCCGTCGGCACAGAGACGCTTCTCCTGGGAGTCTTGGCATTGAAGGAGGCGTGCAGCCAGGGATTTGGGAAGCTTGAGACGTGGAACAGATATCACAGAAAAAGTGAGGTCCCTGAAGAGTGGGAGAGAAAGCAGATCACCCAAGGATGGCATCCCTCTCTTCTTCACTGCTTCGGTGGTTAACAGTCTCTCCAGAGTTGACTCTATTTGACAACAGGGAACATTAACAGATATCATGAGAAACCTTTTCAATACAAATGTAACAGGTATCACACACAATAACCAGATAGCTAGACATTTCATCTCATCACCAAAGCCACTGCTGCAGGAGTAACAAACACTAAACTGCATTTCTTTCATGCAGGAGTGACTATCTGAAACCAGGTGATAAGAATTAAATGAACAAAATTCACATGTGATTTCTTTGCTTTAACAACACTAGAAGCCTACAGTCACAAAACAAGCAATTATTTCTTGAATGGAAAATGGCAGGTGGAAAGATGCCATTTAATCCTGGAATTCAGGTGATCTAAAAGCTCCACCTTGTGCAAGGTCATAGTCTTCAGCTATCCTTTGCTGAGTTATGGAAGAAATACATGGTTTATTCTTTCAATAGTAGAGAAAGGTCCTTGAAAGTTGGGGGTAAAATAGCTTTAAACATCTTACAGTGGGAATTCCACACATTAGCATACCAGAACTCAAATCTGCTAATCAATGTGCATCTACTGGAAAATAGTGAAGGGGCACGAGGTATCCTTTGCCCCAACATCCAGAAGATCAGGGGGTATTTGCCTCCCCCAGCTTCCTACACCCTCATACTCTTGCGTTGGACATCCTAAATTGGCCTTGAATCAGTCAATTACAAATGCAACTGTTACCAGTCTTTTGACTGATGACAAATATGAAATGAAGAACACCAACAGCATTTTTTTGCAGCGAAGATTCATAATAAGTACAGGTGCCCATGATGACATTCGATGAAACCCCATCCAGGTGGCTTAAGAGATATCGCCAGAGTTACCATTACCACATGTGCAATTAGTCATTCAGGTACAGCCATCAAATTTCTGCTTCAATGACCAGCAGGTACAGTACCAGTACATTCCATGAACTAGGACTGTTCCAATGCATTAACAGCCATTGAAATTGGATGCTGTTGCCAAGGGGTGCCAAGAGAAGGGAAAAATACAGTATATAAAACACATGCATATGCAAACATGGTCTGACATTGAGAATTCCAGTCTCTTTTTGCAAGGAAAGGAACAGGTGTTACTGATCTCAAGGGGAAAAATGTGTTACATGTGTAAGACTCAGTCTCTCTCTATGGTGCTAACTGCATCAAATGAAGGGATCAAGTATCCCCTGAATTCCCTTTTCTTGTTGTTGAGAAAATGCACTCATTTTCAGCATCCCATAAGCCTAAAAAAGTCAGGATGAGGCAGTAGAGATCATCTCAGGTATTATCAGCATCAGCAAGAAGAGTCAGAGAGCTGAATATTGGAACAAGGTCTATTATGTCTCTATTAGCAATATTGGCATAAGCTGACAGTATAATGGTCAGTCATGTCATCCATCAAGATATCTGCCAAATCCTTCTATTAATACACTTGTTATATTTTGCAAACCTTCTACTACACCCTAAGATTCCCTGTCTCACTATCAAATAAATGATGTAAAGAGTAATTAAAAAGATGTAGAAACTGACTGATCACAGGTGAGCATGGGGGGAAGGTATCACAGGTGATATGGGGGAGAAGTGAGGAGCCAAATGCCATCTCATAGAGGAGGTGGCCAAATGCATAAGCATCAAGGGCCTCCAGGCTGTCAATTCGTTTGTGAGCAAGGGCATAGCTTCGATAGAATGATGACAGGCCCAAGGGTCCATTCTCGACGTCTGACAGACGAGCAACTTCACCTTCTATCATGACATTTCCTGAGTGCAGATGGCCTGAAATAAAAACACATAAATGTTTTCCAAGTGAGAAATGAAAATCTGACACAACAAGGGTCCATCATCCAAACATGACCTCATAGTGTCAATAATGTATTAAACAATGCATTAAATATGGTATGCTGGACCACCAAGCCTGAGTCACTTTGAAGAAAATTATGTACTCTAGTAAAAAAATTTGGAGCTCACAGATAACCCTTGGAGCAATCTTGTATACAGGAGAGTAGTGCACTTTTTGAAATTGGCCCAAAGAGACCAGTCATACTTTAAAGTTATTACAAAGGAAATGTAATATCTTATGCTAGTTTAAAAAATGCTTCATTTGCTAGTTAATTTCATAATTTTGAAATTATGTTGACTTTTATGGGTGCAAATGAGGTCAGCAAAGCAGTTTTCTCCCCTTGGCACAAAATTCCTGACTTTTCAGTTGAGTCATATAAAATGCTCTTGAAATTAAGGGACTTGCAAGATGGGAGTTTGTTCCAGGGCCAATTAGCACAAGGGCAACTGCTCAAGAGAAATGGTAATTTCAATGAGATTTGACAAAGTTCAAGAGGAACTGACCTAATTGTTACAGAAGAAAATTCTCATTACTTTTCCCCTCAATTTTCCACAGCATTTAGTGCATCAAAGCCAAAGAACCTGTAAATCCTGTGCCACAGGTGAAAAGGGAATATGACTTGCAAATAAAAAAATAAAAAAAGCTACAATTCAAGAAATATATGTTGAAACACTGTATACTTTGGTTCACTTTCACACAGATGATGACAACCAAGGTAACAATTAGAACAAGCACCACCAACCGTATGGGATTCCCCTTTGACGCAAGAATTGCAGAGCCTCGAGAATCTGCCTCCCCAAGGTGCGGATGTCAGCTTCGGGGAGAGGATGACTCTCTTTTGCTTTGGCATACTTCTTAAGGAAATGCATCTTTGGGTGCACACCACAAATGCGATCCCTGAGGGTTCCACCCTCACACCAAGGCCGCACGACCAGAAATCCCTGGTCGCTTGCATCAGCATGAGTCACACTCTGGATCCAAGGATGCTAATGAGACATCAACACCAATCCCCTTACAGGCATCTTGGTTTTAGGAAGATAGGGCGCTGGAGAAACATCTTCAATACCTGGAGATCTCTGATCATCGAGACAAGATCGCTGAGATCTCTGCCCTGTGGGATCCTATCAGGTCCATGCTGAACCCACGAGAGAAGGAACTTTTGCCCTGGCCGATCCTTCTTGGTCACAAAGAAATGCGTCCTACCAGATCTCCAGCCCAGGTTAGGCACAGACTCTCCAATGACAAGGTTGGGCTCATTTCGGATCAATGTTGCAACATGTGCAATGCATACCTCTGTGAATAAGTTAATTTGAAAAGTCATTTTCACAGACCATAGAGAAACACCAGGAGAAAGAAAGCCAATAGGAAAACCTTGAATGGAGGATGAATATCGTTGAGGATCCAGAAAATGTTTCACTTCAAAGCTTAGACTCAGCCATGGATGTCCTAGTATTTCATCCAAGAAATCCTTACAATGAGAATAGAAGAAAAATCAGCAAATCTCATTTCTTAATAAAAAGGAGATTTTGATCATCTATGGAATAATAAGTACCTGAAGGGCTTTCTGCCTCTCAAGAAGAAAGTCCTGATCAAGATTTCCTATGAGTTTCTTTGGTGGCAAAATGAGGGGAACATTGGAAACGTTGAGGCTCTGCCGCAGCCGCAAGAAGTCCCTGTAACGTCGAGTAACCGTCCATGTATCTCCTGGACATTGCTCTACTCGAATCATGTACTCCTGGAGAAATAAACATATTCATTAACAATAGCCAATGTCCAGAAAAAACATTATTGTTGGTTTCCCAACAAATACTTCTCAATTTTTGTAGGGATTATACCAAATCCTTGAATAAGCCTTAATGGAATTAAGTCCACTCAGTTCAATTTTTGGAAGCTGCAGAAGTTCTTGTCCTAGCTGAACTACCAATGTATATGGACATGTGAGAAAATAAACACCCATGCATGCAGAACCTTGGCATACTTAACACTCCTGATAACACGAAAGGTACAAACGGCATGATTTCGAACGATCCGGTGACTGAGGATGGAGGCATGTAGTGGAAGTGCATCATTCACCACCTGAGCCTGCTTCCAAGTATCAAACAGGGCCATTCCTCCCATTTCCTCTCCATTCCTCCTTGTGTCTCACTCCTCTTCTCCACTCATCCTCACATTCAGTGACACAAAATAGCCACTCCACAATTCTGCATATGAGAGACATGATGAAGTACAGTAAGGTTTTAGCAGCAACACTGGGCTAAGCTGATGGATATCAAATGGGCGCAAGGTTTAACATGCTACATCCAGATTATTTTCTTCAATCCAGGTGCAGAATACAAGGTATAATGAATATAGAAATTGCTCTTCCCTGTCACACCAGAGAATTTTACTATCTGGTATTCCCATAGGTACTATGTGGAAATGCCAGATGTTGCAGTCAGTCTGTCTGCAGTAGTGACCAGATGACAGGGCCCAATGCACACACACAGCTTTCTACTTGGGTCAGGGTGCCCATCTTCCATGAAAACATCCACTTCCCTTCCAGCCCTGGCAGTTGACAGATCCATAGTAGACAATGGAGGAGAGCAGTTGCTCCCTGCCTGCTGTGTAGACAGGGTTATCAGGCACATGCATGAAATGCTGTATCTGGCATCCTACACTTCATATTGTTCTCCCATCTCCATGCAATGCAGACAATCAAGAAAATTTCAAGTTGTCCATGCCTTTTCATTTAGGCCCATGCTAAACCATTGACAGCTATTATTCATTTCAAGGTTGGATGGTTAGGATGCAGTAAATATATATAATAAATCCAGAGGTACAGGGGCCAGTGGAATGCCAGATCTGCACCTGGACTGGTACTCTCGTTTCCATATTTATGGGTTCTTATTGGAGCAATTTTTTGCCTGTCTCTTCAAAACTAATTTTTCCATACTTCCATACATCTATATCTTCAATTGTAATTTTTTCCAGCAATATCTAATGGACTGTCCAAGCTTGTTGTTTTTCCTATCACATGTATGCAAAATAGCAGCCTGTGCTGTCAGACACCCAAACATCGAGGTACCTTTTAAATAAGCACTGAAACATCAGCCTTTTGACACCAGTAACAATCCATGAAGAGATAACTAAAGGCATATTAATCATATGAATGGACAGGAGGGACATTATGAACTCCCAGCCTTGAAAATATATTCAAGACCTCCATCCTCATAAAGTAACCATTGCTGAAGAAATTAACCCCTTTTTAACTGTAGTTACAGTATTTCTTTAATCTCACTGGATTGCACATAAGACAGAGGAGACCACCACTTTTTGTTACCAGGGTCAGTCTAGGAACCCTTGCCAGGATGAGACTCGCAAGGCATCTGAAGCTCACATTCCCGATGACTGCATCCTTAGAAGTTGATAGGCTTCCCACTGTATGCAGCCAGGTTTGCTTCTCTGAAAGCTTCTGAGAATGTCTGTAATATAATATATACAGGTATTCTTTCTTTATATCCCAAAACATGACTATCACACACTTTTTTTCAAGTCTTTTTTCCTAACATCTTACTTAATAGCAACCTTGCCAGGAAGTCATTTGAATCAAAAACACCTATGTCTATTTTCTAAAATTTCTCATACATTCTATACAAATCCTACACATCAAGCACAGAAAATATTTCTTCATGTCCTTGGAACAGCTATTTGAATTATGAATGAGGCAAGTCAAGCAACTATTTCCACTTCCTTCTCGCAGAAAAAATCCTACAGTTTGGCAAGTTTTTAAACATTCTGAATACCAAAATTTTTCTCAGCTCATCATCAGTTTCCAAAAAACTTTGTTAAATTGATATTCTGCAAGCTTCTATATTATATCATCGTTTATTTTTGCAGTATATCAGAGATCACGAGTTGAAATGTAATAAATAAAAATTAGTTTCATGAAAAGTTTTTTTTAAAGGAAAACTGGTGGTATGCAAAAGTAATACACAGAGGAAGAAACTGACCGGATGAGCATGGCAAACCCGAGCAATGTCCTCACAAGCAGCTCCATATTCCATGGCCAGTGCTGCTTCATTGATCATCTCACCAGCTCCCTATAATGACAATGGCATCTTCCTTATACCACACTCTGTTTTTTTAAAGCCAAGTATATTAAAGCAGACTTTTCACTCTACAAGTACACAAATATACCATTTGCTTTCAGGGACAAGATCATCCAGTACTGATTCCATCGCTTGAGATGGATTTGACTCCACAGTTCCTTTCCATCTTTAATCTGAGACAAGGGTCATACATGTTTGTTGGCTATAATCCTTACATTACTTTACTTAAATTACTTCCACTCCATTATGCATTTGAAAAGGTAGTACAACCTCAGGCTCAGTTCAAATCAAGTCTACAAATGGTTTCCCAGCAACACAGCTGAACAGTTGCACCACTTCACCATTCCATCGAAGAAAAGTATAAAAGAGAGGAACAGCACTCACTGGACCAATGATATGAGCGCCAAGGAGACGATCCGTGTGTTTGTCTCCGAGGATCTTCACCATTCCATCGGTCATCGCATTAGTCTTGGCTCGACTATTGGCCATGAAGGGGAATTTCCCTACATTGTACTCGATCCCCTCACCCTTCAAATCCTCCTCAGTCTTCCCGATCCAGGCCACTTCTGGAGACGTGTAGATCACGTTCGGCACGCAGTTGTAATCCATGTGCACCGATCCACCAGTGATGCCTTCCACACAGATGATGCCTTCATCTTCTGCCTTGTGAGCCAACATGGGGCCATGAATGCAGTCCCCAATTGCATAGATGCTGTTGAACAAAACCCCAGCACAATTAAACCTCAGTCAGAGTTTCAATCAGGAAAATGGTGAAAATGAGCTATTAAAGATTAAATATTTATTTCCAGGAGCTATTACTTATTTTATTCTGGTGCACACAACAGTATTCAACAAAATCTTTAAATGCATTTTTTTAGAAGGGTGAAAAAATGTTTCACAATCTGATTACTTTCTCAACACCTCCAATGATGTTTATGATATATAGTCCACCAGGTAATTTGAAGCATCTGAATCCATGTAGAGTAAGGGCATGATCACTGCATGAATTCTTTTTTTTTTTCAATCCTTTTCACTCTTTAATGCCCCAGCTTTTTCCCTCTCCCTTCCCAGTTCTTGCTTATTTACTGGGGATGAGTAAGCATCCTACGAGGCTCTTTCATGAATTATAAGAGAGAACAAATGCAGGAAACCCAGTAGAGGGAGAGAAGGAGGAAAATAAGAAGATAAATGTTGATTCAGGTTATCGGTTGCCATATGCTTGACATAAATTCTGCCACTGTACAAGTAAATAGAAGAAAAAGCAGACACTAGTATATGTTTATCAAATTTGGGAAACTAAATTGGAAAATAAATTCAAAACAGTGAACATTTGAGAGCACTTCAAATAATGTACTGCATAAAAAAAAAGGGTATTCAATTACCATTCAAAAACTTATGACGGTGACATTCCTAAAATTCAACAACTGATTCTTGAAGGACATAAAATTCCAAGTTCCTAATAAAATTCCATTGCCACAATGAAGAATCAAAGATTCTCAGGAACCAACTTGGAGATAACAGTCTGGAAGCGGGAGTTCACAGGAATGCGACCCTTTTCGTCTCGCTCGATTCCCATTTCTTCCAGGCCCAAATTGTAAGTATAAGGTCTCCTTCCAATGCACACCAACAGCACATCGCATTCCAGCTGCAAAAAATTACAAGAGACATTACACAAATAAGAAAATCACAGGTTAAGACACCATACAAGACTATCCCATGGGTACTTATGGAAGCATACATCGTTTTTATTTTGATACGTGGCAACTTCCGTTATGACAAGTTCCTCAATACAAAGTTAGTGCAAAGCACCTCCATTTCATCCTTCACTTGATCATATGCCATAGAGCCTACCATTTCGGTCTTCCCTGGATCCTTAACGGCTTCAGTGTGGACTTTGATCTTCCCATCGGACTTCTCGGCACCTATGACTTTTGTTTGGAGCTTAAATTTGAGGCCCTGCTTCTGTAAGATCCTTTGGAAATTCTTGGAGATCTCCATGTCTATTCCCTGACCGCCTATATGTCCGAGGAATTCCACAGCCACAGTATCTGCTCCTAACCGAGACCACACAGAACCCTGGGAACAAAAAGAAATCAATGGAATAACTCTTGAATGATGCTATTTCCAACGCATTTTGTATTTCCACAAGAAAAAAAAACTCACAAGTTCCACACCAATGACACCAGCCCCTATGACGACCATCTTCTCGGGAACGGCCTTCAGAGATAATGCCCCCGTTGAGGAGACGACATCCGTTTCGTTGATCTATCAAGAAAATTGCACACTGATGAATATTGATTAAAGCTGTACTGAAGAGGCCAATGGCAGCCTATAGCAAGAATGGTAGCATTACCTCAATTCCACGGAATGGCATGACTTCAGATCCAGTTGCAATAAGGATGTTCTTGGTTTTCACAACCTCACTGCTTCCATCTCGTTTCAAGACCGTGACTTCGTTCGTTCCTGTGATCTTTCCGTGACCTTGTATGTGGGTTACCTGAGAGTAGCCAACTATTACTAAGTACTAATATCACTTGAATATTGTCAAGAGAAAACATATACCTAAATGAGTCTGGATTTTCCAGCCACAGATGGCTAGTACAAGATCACAGACTCATATGATACCTTGTTCTGATTGAAGAGATGAGCAATTCCACCAGTAAGACTTTTCACTGCTCCAGACTTTTGCTCCATCATCTTTTCCAGGTTCAGCCTCAACCCATCAACTGGAAATCGCAATCGGCATCGAGCCGTATCTAATAGAGCCTTCGTCCGACAAACCGGGGGGGAAGGAGCAGAGGCGACTCACATTCGATCCCCCTCATCTTGAAGTCACTGCCATGTGCAGCATGATACATGTGGGAATTGTAAAGGAGGGCTTTGGATGGGATGCAGCCCACATTGAGGCAAGTTCCACCTAACGTGTCATCTTTCTCTACACACACAGTCTGAAAAGGGAAGCTATACTCAGGTTAAAACACTATGGGAAATCAACTTTCAAACATCAAGGGCTTCAAGGCCTCATTTCCATTAACCAGATTTTGCCAAAAGAAAGAGCACACTTTGTAGCACTCCATCTACCAGGAAAATGAGGGCTTTATAGCAAGACTGGACTGGTGAAAAAAAGCAATATTGGGGATTTTTATCAAATAAAGGTTCATAAAATAATCCTTGAGAGTGGTGGTGTGTTAATTGATTTCCCTGATGCATTCATTTGCATTAAAATGCATCACAGGGATTGGGTTAATATAAGAATTGTGAACACCAACACCAATAAAATGAACCACTCATCTGCAATGGGCACATGTCACTTATGGGCCAACTCAGGGGCGTATTTTACACAGGGGCAGCCGACATCCCTGGCAACCCCTTGGAGGTAACCATTTTCCATTTGATATTGCTTGGGCAGGGTTTGGGGCCCCACTCTGTTGCCCTGCCCCTTAACCCTTCAGCCAAAATACACCACTGGGCCAACTCATTTATTTTTATCAAAGAAGTAACCTTTCTGCCAGTGCCAAAGGGCTGTGGATGCTTATAAATTTTCATCTACATTTTTATTTAGTAGTAGATCATGTGCCCAAGCCAATGAGTTTCTTTTCAGATGTGTTGGCTGCATCTGAAGTAAAAACAATGCAACAAGAGGTTATCGGTTAGACAAAAAAAATGTAGCAGCACCCTTTCTTTAGATAACTTGGCCCAAGAAAACACCAGATGGGGGCCGAATGAGAGCATCCATGAACCACTTACATTCATACCCAGCTGAGCAGCCTTGATGGCTGCCACGTACCCGCCTGGACCAGACCCGATGACAACGATATCGGCCTGAGTCCCACTGGACAGGTGTCTGCTCTGTAGCCATACTGCAGCGGGCAGTCTTTCGTGCAACTGATGACCGTGACAAGCCTAGAAATCAAAGCACGAGTAACGTCATCAACAGGCATCGGTTTCTACTATGAAATTATTTGTGCTATTCATACGCTAGGCCTAAACCTTCGTAGTCCCAGACCATTAGGCGATAGCTTTCTTCACCTCGACCAACAACCGAACGTGACGGGAAAATTGGAGGGGGCTCACCCGATGCCGAACCGAGGAACACACTTGCCGGAGAAATACCGAATGCATGACTAGAATACTTTCAAGTTGATCACCGAAGGAAGAAAGAAGAAAAAAGAACTCTTCTTCGCGACCTACACGTAGGAACAAACGGAAGAAAAATGCAGGATCGGTACTGCGATCACTCGGGAATCGGCCTCCACTGCGCCGCCATGTCTAAGGGGAGTCGCCCTATGACATCAGAGGAGAAGGGGCTGAGAAGGGATACACCGCCATCAAAACCTCTGGTTAGATAATTCGCCACGAGGTGGCAGTAAACACGTCTCTCGGAGAATAAAAAATAAATATTCTGTGTCGTTCAACTAATAATTCAAATTTTATTTTTTTAAATGACCTCGATATGTATAAAGAGCATACGTATTGGGGAAAGTACGAATTTTTAACGAAATTTGCTGAAATAGAGAAAAAGAATCAAAATAATGTTGGGGTCTTGCTAGAGACAGGCTAAATTTAGCCACACGAAATGAAAGTTTCTAGCAGGAATTCCTCGTGCCTTAAACTAATGAGTAAGGAAAATTACGAGCCCTGGTGACGCTTGGCTCACTATGTCTCTGTGCCTCGCGCACTGAATCTTTCGAGGGGTACAGGTCGCCTCTCGCCGGCTCGCCTACTTCGCTTGAGCCGTTGAGGTTGGTAGCGATTTGCCCTTGACCCCTCACTATCCAGCAGAAAATTGGCGGTGGGGAAGGGAGACGCTGTGAGGCGATTCTACGACCGGGCGGAAACGGATTTTATTCTCGTCGTCACGACGGAAGCGGCGGATTTCGAGAGGAAGACGGAAAGGATTCCGCTGCTTTCTCGCGGCGAAACGAACCGCCGTGTTCACGATAGACGTTCGGCTGACTCTGATACGTATTTCTTGCATTTTTTTCCCCCATCCTGCGAACGTCCCGAACGTCGCAGTGGCCGGTCGAAATCGAGACCTCTACCTTTGCTGCGCCACCGAGGAATCCACGAAAACGCATGCGTCGAAGATCCGTGGGAGAACGGACAAGAAATGAGGCGAACCGGAAGTCCATCGGATGGGCGTGACGCGTCTACGTTACTGTGGTTCCATCGACCACAACCGGTTTTGCCGGAATGGCAGACGCCAGGGATTATTCTACACGACTGCTAAAGTACACGTAATGGGGGGGGGGGGGGTTTTAATGGGGAACAGGTTTTAAAATGATCTGTTCTCATTTGAAGCGGTTCTGAGAGAATCTGCACTGAAAGAATTTTGTTTCCGACAGACTTTTGAAATTTGATGGAAGTCGCGGCAGTCGGCGTCGTCGAGACGAAATCCCGAGCACGAGAACGAGATTCGTTTCGCGGTCCGACGTCCGCGGAACGCCTCGGGATCTCCGGCGAGTGCGGATCCGTGCAGGTCGCGCCGAAATTCAAATTCGACACGTTTCGGAAAGCTAGAGTGGAATCGGGAAGTCGGACGGGTGAAACGGTCCTTGGGTGAAACGCGAAGAAATTCGAAACGCCTGCCCGCGTGAGCTTCCCACGAACTTCACCCACGCCTCTCGAACGCGAACGAGCCTTTGACGTCACCGTGGCGCGAGGGGAAACCCTTGCTCTGCGTCACCGATGGAGAGATCCTCTCGATCGGCTCCCGATATCGAGGCCCGTCGAGTGTCCGTGCGAGGCCCGAACGTCGACGAGGCGATTCCGATGACGTCCGAAGGTGTTCATCCGACGGGGGAGGCGAAGCGAAGACGAGTCACATCGCGCGCACGTGGATTCCGTGGAGACTCCCTTCGTATTGCGCCGGTCTCCGAGGACGAGCTGCGAATAGGCCGCTCGCCCTCGTCAGTCGCAAGGCCGAGCCGAGATGGATCCGTGCGGAGGCCGAAGACCCACTTCGCAAGTGGAACTTGCCGTTTCCTGCAGGTAGGTTCGCGGGCGAACGTAAGGTCACCTCGGGTCGAGGTGAATCTCTCGTTCTCGATTTTCGATCAACCGTCGGCCGCGTACACGTGGCATAACGTTAACGGGTGGACATGACCTTCGTCCTCTTTCCGAATACTACCCGTATCTAGGATTACTCGTGATTTTCGGTGTGGTATTTGAAAAACACAGGATGGTAGTCATGGACCCATGTTACCTCGGTTTGGCACACAGTCGGCACTTAATGAACGCTGTTGAAGGATTAAAACCAGGATCGAGAACTTGCTCGAATATCATTCCCGAGAAACTCCAGATTTGGATTTCCTCATGTTGTGAAATTAGTAGCTGCATCGTTTGAGGGCTTATGGAATCTTAATAGAGGCATGTTGAAATTTCTTAATTATGCATAGAAGAGTATGTATCTTTCTGTTAACCCCCCCAAAGGTGGGTGCACCATTCTGGCTCTGTAGTGTGGAAAAATATCAAGCTAGAACTTTAGAAACACCTGTGAAAAACAAAATGTTTACTGAATTTGTGATACATTTTTTTATCAATATGGAACACGTGAATGCATCGAGTCAAGGAGTATGAAATTACTATCGCCAAGGTTAATCTGTTCTGGTCCTGCTCCCCTTACACTAGCTAGGCCCTGCCAACCAACTAATTTAGAATCAGAGACAGGCTCGAAGGGAATCTGAAGCATGCCCTGCATAACTCAAGGTGATCCTGTCACATCAGGATGACCCAGGCAAGGTGCGATTGTTCCATAGGCCTACATGGACCAAGTAATTTTGTTGGCATTGCCTAGCTTTTGTATGAGAGGTAGAACCAGAGTGAAGTAACCTCACAAATGGGTATTTTTATTCTTCCTGGTTCAAGTTGTTGAAGGGAATGGAAAAAAACACTTCTTCCATAGGATCTGCTTCATCAAATGATGATCTGATAAACACCTTGAGAAGGTATTGCAATGTGCAATCTATGAAAGTGTTCCTATGGGGGTAGTATGAATTCAAAAATGGTATATTGAATATGTTCATATATTTCTAGATGTTTTGATTTTTTAGCATTTATTCTCCATTGTAGTGTGTAAAACTTTTCCAGGTGTTTTTTTTTATGTTTGGATCTGCATCAATTCATTCTATGCTGTATAAAGTAAGAAATTAAATCAAGTTGTTACTTTCCTGTCACCCTGTAACTGTTTTGTTACTAAGCCTAATTGACTGCAGTTCAGCTGCCTTTTTTATGGTGCAGTTTTCCTTCCCTTTGGTCTCACATCTAAGTCAGACCTCTGACTTGAAATGATGATGAAGGTCAAAATATTCCTGACCAACTATGGTCAAATATAAGCTCATCCTTGTCTTGGAATTGGAAAAAACTCAACAGGTTTCTGTGAACCTGAGTATGAAAGGTTATTTGCCATCTTTCAGGCAAAGGTGACTTGGAGGATTAATGAGTTTAGTTATATTATCCATTGATTCAAGAGGTGCTTAGGTGTGTGACACAAGTATTCATGCAAGTTATTGTTTTGCTTTTCTGCCAATTTTCTCTGAAAACTTTTGAGTTTTGAAAGGCCAGATAGTAGGGTTGAGGTAGTAGGCTATGGTAATGTGTATGAAGTTAATATGAATTGGAAGATATTAGGCATAATGAAGTGAGGTAAGAAACAGTAATGCTTTAATTTACTGGTTTCACCCATGCTACTTTTCTATTTATCATCCCATGGCCTGTTCTAAACTGTGCTTCTTTAAAATAAGTATTGTTTGACTAGAAAATCACTCAATTCACTGCTTTCAGGAACTTGCCTGATCGAGACTTGACATCGGACTCAGATCCCTTCTGTGTTCTGTTTGCCCGGAGAGGAGGATCATCGTCATACGTAGAAGTAGGAAGAACCGAGGCCCTGAAAAATAACCAAAATCCCTCATGGTCCAAGAAATTCATTTTAGAATATTTATTTCAAGAAAGATATGTAAGTTTTCTGCCTTTTGTGATTTTAATAGCCTGTTAGATGTGTAAACTTACCTCATGCAAGAGTTTTTTTTGCCATTGTGGCTCGTATTGTATTTAAGTGATGTATTTTAACTAGTTTCAGTTATAGACATATTTGCCATTCTGAGTATCCATCTCAAATTTATTTCTTAGGAGTTGCAGTTCAAGATATTTGATCAGGACAGCTCCAGCAATTCACTTTCCAGACACGACTTTCTGGGTTTGCTGGAATGCAGCCTGGGAGAAATTATTGCATGTGGTGGGAGACAAGTAAGGCCTAATCAGCTATAGATCATGATGTCCTTCACTTGGGCATGAATATTTGCTGAGCAAATGCTTTTTCTCTGAAGTTCACGAGATCACTCACTAAGGCCCTTTCGGGGCGTCCCATTATCACGATCATCGCCGAAGAGGTTGCATCATGCAAGGAAGAGGCTCATATGCAATTCTCAGGTAGGGACCTCGAGAAAAAGGATACATTTGGGAAGAGTGACCCATTCCTTGTCTTCTCTAGGTCAGTTTCTCTCAGGAGTTTTCTTTCTGGGTTTGCTTCATGAGATTTATTTATCATGGCAATTTATCACTAGGTCAAATGCAGACGGAAGCTACAGTGTGGTACACCGAACCGAGGTCATGCCCAACACTCTCTCACCAGCCTGGAGGCCTTTCTCGATTTCTGTCCAGAAACTGTGCAATGGTGACTACAATCGTTCCATCAAGATGGAATGCTTCGACTGGGACACGGATGGCACCCACGATCTCATTGGAGAAGCCCTCACGACCCTCACACGATTGTCGGAAGGCCCCAACAGCAATGGCAATCGATACGAGCTTGTCAACCCGCGCAAGATGAGCAAGAAGAAGCATTATAAGAATTCGGGTATCCTGATGTTGAGGACATTCAATGTGGGGTCAAAGACAAGTTTCCTAGAATACGTGAAAAGTGGGACCCAGATCCACTTCACGGTCGCTGTGGACTTTACTGCATCCAATGGGAATCCCCAGGATCCAAATTCTCTTCATTTCCGGAATCCCAACGGGATCAATCCATATGTGATAGCAATCCGTGCTGTCGGGGAGATCGTCCAGGATTACGACACCGACAAGCAATTCCCAGCCCTGGGTTTTGGGGCCCAGGTCCCTCCTTCGATGCAGGTCCTCCATGAATTTCATCTCAACGGTCATCCTGATAACCCATATTGTGTTGGAGTGGATGGGGTTCTTCAGGCCTACTACAGTGCTCTCTCCAGAGGTAGAATTGAAAATTTTTCAAACTTATTTTCGAAATGTCTAATACTTTAATTGAAAGAAGTTAAAAGTTGTGGTAGCTGTCACCTCTAAAGCATGAGGCATACAGTGCTATGCTATTCAAGGCCAAAGGCATGGCCATCCACAGCCTAAAGCACCATGCCTACAAGGCTCTGCCATTCTGGGCCATAGGCTTGGCTATAAAACTTTGAACTGTGACATATGTTTATGTCAACATTTAAAAATTTCCATCCATTAAATGGCCAGCATAGCAGCCTGCAACTGTTATGCTGTCCATCTAATAGAAGGAAATTTCATCAGTCATCTATTGAGCAAAAAAAGTAGTCAGCAATTTCTTGCAACCTTATTGTTTGATTTCTCATCATTTTTTTTGCCTGTCTGCTGTCTACAAATGGAACATAGGAAAAGTATAGTAATTGTTCAGAAGTTTGCCATGAAAATACAGGTGTTATGAAGACTCCAATCAATTCCATTCCAAAACACATTCAACAGTTTTCAGAATCCTGATTATTTTCTTTCAATTTAAAGAAAGGAAATAGTCAGGTTTATGTTGCAGAGTAAGTTTTATGTTTACATTCTTATAGGTTGAGGAGTCTTTTTGTTTATCATCTGCGTTCTTCTTGTCCTTCCTTTAGCAGTGCTGCTGGTCTTCTTACACAACTGCTTCAGAGTGCCAGGATATTTACTAATTGAATTTCAAATGTCACTCCTGCAATGTTAGTTCTCATGCTTAGGTTCTTAAGGAAAAAAGTGTTATACCATATGTAATCAGTAAATAGCAATGGAATTGAGATTGTAGGCATACATACCCTCCCTTATCTTTGACTTATTTACAGACTAAAGTCATTAACTACAATAACATGATGTTTTGCAGTGACTCTGAGTGGACCAACAAATTTTGCTCCGGTGATACGGCACGTGTCTCGAATAGCATCTGCCAACACCAGTGGCAAGGACTACTATATCCTTCTCATCATCACGGATGGTGCCATCTGTGGTAGGGATTTGTGAGTTGAATGACAAAATTTTTGTGTTCCATTTTAAGATCGTTTGGGATTGTCTTTTGATAGACATGGATGAGACAAAGGAAGCGTTGGTGCGTGCATCCTCTCTCCCAATGTCACTGATCATAGTGGGTGTTGGGAATGCAGACTTCTCTGCCATGGATGCCTTGGATGCTGACAGAAATCCTCTCAGTTCCAAGGGTGCTCGTGCACATAGGGACATTGTTCAGTTTGTCGGTCAGTCTTTCTCATTGTTTCTCTTTGGCATTGGATCCATCTTTGTCTTCATGTTCTCACCCAGTTTAAAATCCCAACTAGAATATTCCAGTTGGACTGAATCTGTAAATTCGGACCATTTCCAGCTGTCAAAGATCTGGAAAATAGTAGGTACCAGGTGTTTCTTAGCTGGAATTTTCCAACTGGAATGCAGCTGGTCTTAATAGCTGTTTCCAGTTGGAATTTTATAAAGAAAACCCCACAGCTGGAATGTAGCTAAATTTACAGTTGAAAATCAGCTGTTCCCGTAGATGGACCTCAGACAAAAATAGTCAAAACAAAAAGATTCTCATTCAGCTAGTGATGAAGCAATTAGGAAAAAATCTGGAGATGACTACTTTCCAGCTGTTATCCAGTTGGAATGGGCCCAGATTTACAGCTGGAGTTCAGCTGGAAATTATAGCTGTTTCCAGCCAGGATTTTAAACTGGGCAGGAGGTCATCTAATTAAAAAAGCATAATGAGTTCATAGATTTTTGTTGAAATTCAATATAGGCAGCATGCATAGGTGTCAAAAGGACACTCGGATGGTAGACAATGTAGTTGAAGCGAAAGCTTCATCTAACTCAAAATTTGCAGAGTAATCAGGAATGAATTGGAGAGAAAGGTGAACATCTTATCAGGCATACTGGGTCATCCAAGAATCACTTCTGCAACTCAGGAGAAAACATGGAACAGATCGAAACAGGGAAAATCACTCAGCAAACAATTTGAACGTAACATTGAATCAACATTATTCTGTTGATTCATTAGGGTATATTCATATATGTGCAGCAATGTAGAATGTTCTACCATGCTTTGAGACCCCTCTAACCCAGATCAAGCCATTCCTGTAGTCATCTGGACTATGTGCTGTGGTTGCAGGTTGTGCATGTGATGTGATATTGCCATCACAATACAAAATATTTTTTATATGCATCAGCTTCCACATGGTCACATTGGTCCTCCATCCAATTATTTTCCAATAAATGCCATGTGCACTTCACAGCTACTTGAACTGCAAAAGTGACTGTTAGAAGGCTCTTGATACGAGGGTCAATTCCAAAGTGATGCACAATATACTCTTATTTTGAATAAATAAAAGTTATTTTACGAAATGACTTGACAACCCTTCAATATAATCACTCCCAATGCTTCAGTAACTTTGGCACACCTGTCAGCAGGCCCTTGGTGTTGATGTGACGGATAGCTTGGGTCACTTCAGTGGAAGCCTCATCGATGCTTCAGAAACATTTCCCATGAAGTGGCTCCTTCAACTTTGGAAAAAGATCAAAGTCTGGCTGACTCATGTCAGGACTGTAGGGGGGATGGGGAAGCTCCTCCCACCCATAGTGTTCCAAAAATTCAGCTACAATAGCTGCCTTTTGTGGCCTTGTGTTATTGTGTGGAGTGAGAGTGCTGATCACAAGCATGTCAGGTCTGTTGATGAAAATTTTTGGGCATGAAGTGTCTTTGGACCTTAGGAACCTAACCTATTCCACAACTGGGTTAATGTAACTGATAGGATGCCAAAAAACTGTGACTGCAGGCAACTGCAGAAATTTTCTCAAAAACACTTTACGGACACAAATTCGATGAGGATGCTAAAAATTTGATTTTCGGGTATGTTTAAAATATGAGTAATCCTTATCTGGATCATATGTTTCAGCGCTTTCAGCGCTTAGCGCTTTGACTGCTGAGGATTGAAATGGCCAGCCAACCTCTCCTTGCCAAGCACTTTCAAAATGGCAATGGAGGTTTGCTGCCCTGAACACATCAAGACTGCCAGGGATTGAAATGTCCAACCAAACTCTCTTTGCAAAGCACTTCTCCCTTGCCGAACACTCCATATGGCGTGAACGGCAGTCAAAGGGTTAAATATGCCCTCATGTATGTGTTCATATTTCAATACATGAAAATATGAATTTATATGGCACAGATAATTGCATATAACTACCATATGTGATCTTCCTGTATGGGACTGAAGTGTATTTTTTATTAAGTATTATTTTATCAATGACTTTTGGCACAGAAACAGCAACTATGAGGGGTTTTTTTTATGGTCCCCTGGCAAGACTTGGAACCTCATTTACTAAGTGGAAGATGAAGTTTTTCTTATGAATCCTCCTGAGATCTTTTTCTATGTTGGTCCACCTGAGAGAAAAAAAGAATTGAACTTACACACCTTAGATTACATAGGTATTACACAATTGGGCTATCTGAATCTGAAATCTGGGGGTCCATTTCTAAGTCTAGGAGATTAGAAACAATAATATTGTACTCAGTATTATATGCAGCATACAAATCAGAAGATATTTTCCTTTCTCACATGGTTTTTTTTAATTAAAATGTTTAACACTGGGGAAATAGCATGGTTCTTGCCCCAAGCTAGCAATTGAGACTGTCAAGACTTAGGTCTTTCTTTGGTTTGACTGCAATGTTCAAGCATAATCCTGAGCAACTGAGGGAATAGGTCCAAGCAGAGCAAATTTAGCAGTTATTCAATAGCATTTCTGATGGACCTTCTTATATGGAATGTTTCTCATTTTTGCTAGCTTGTGCTGTTGTCATATGGGTCCTATGAGGGTTCCTGGGTTGTCATATGAGACCTTTTCTTTCACACTCAAGAGAGAACCTTTTTTTTCAGCAATGAGATCATACATGGGGATGGATTGGGAACGGCAGAAGGCAACCCTGGCAGCCGATGTCTTGCGGGAGATACCAAATCAACTCACCAGTTACATGGGATCTCGTCCTCCTGTCCCTACAGGCAGTACTCATTCTGCATATCTTCCATCAGGTGGTCCTCTCAATCCTGGTTCATCAGCCTCTATATATCCTCAGAATCCTCCACCTTCTGCTCCAGGATATCCTCAGGGTCTTCCACCTTCTGCTTCTGGATATCCTCAGGATCTTCCACCTTCTGCTCCTGGATATCCTCAGGATCTTCCATCTTCTGCTCCTGGATATCCTCCCAATCCTACACCACCTGCTTCAGGATATCCTCAGTATCCTCCATCATCAGCTTCAGGATATCCTCCAAATCCTGCATCGTCTGCTTCAGGATATCCTCAATATCCTCCATCATCAGCTCCAGGATACCCTCCAAATCCTGCATCATCTACTTCAGGATATCCTCAGTATCCTCCTTCATCAGCTCCAGGATACCCTCCAAATCCTGCATCATCTACTTCAGGATATCCTCAGTATCCTCCATCATCAGCTCTAGCATACCCTCCAAATCCTACATCATCTGCTTCAGGATATCCTCAGTATCCTCCATCATCAGCTCCAGGATATCCTCCAAATCCGGCATCATCTGCTTCAGGATATCCTCAGTATCCTCCATCATCAACTCCAGGATATCCTTCAGCGTCTTTTCCTGCTGGATACCCTCCCAATCCCTCATCAACTGCTCCAGGATATCCTCCCCACCCAGCCTCATCATACAGTGGTTATCCTCCCCAACCATCATCCTCTGTTCCTGGATACCCTGCAGGTTCCTCGCACCCTGCTCAAGGGTTTCCTCCTGCTTCAACATACCCACCAAATCAACAACCCCCTCTTCCTGGTTATCCAGGGTATTCACAGGCCACAAGTAATCCCGGTTACCCAATGGGTCCACCACCCCCTGGCAATCCAGGTTACCCACCCAACCCTGGTTCATCATATCCCCACTGAGCCATGAATGATTTATTTTGTAAATATTTTCAGCTGTGCCATGACAGGAACTTTGAGAGGTGCTGCTTTGTCTTCTTTGGTGCTGCTTGTTGTGATCTGATTGGTATAAAGGAATTTTACAGCATCAACCATCTTATAAGAGGCATAAATCAATTGAACTCATAATTCAGTGCCTTTATTATTACCAAATTGCTGTTAGTGGAGCCATCCAGAGTAATGGTTGCTAAAATCTTTACTTTTGGTCTCTAGGGTGTTGAAGAAATTTTAATGCTAATCAAGGCTGCTTGGAGCTTTGTCATTACAGGCTTGAGAAAGAGTTGCTTTCTACCTCAGGAAGAGATTCCCCATGCTTTTCCTTTCCTCCATTTGATATGATATCATCAAGAACAGTCTGACCACCTTACCTTAGAGGTTAACATCTGGCAGCAGTGATTACATGAACAGGAAAAACATATGTAAAATGTGGAATTTGGTTTTGATTTTCCAGATTTAACCATGTTATCTGGCTGTTAACCATAAACCTGGGATCACAATGAACAGCATTTAATGTTGTGTTGATGTATGAGCATTGTTGCTTTAGTGAAAAAATTATTTTTTGTCCGAAAGTTTTATTACGAGTGTCTATGTACCCAATCCAATCAATGTCTGCTATATCAAGCTGATGCTTTCCAAGAATGTATTTATGCATTATGGTGCAGTTTGTGATTGACCGTCAAGTGCCAAGATTTCTGGACACGACAAGGGCTGCCATGGTATTGGAATTTATCTCTTCATTCTCTGGGACATATTGGAATGTTGTTCTGGGACCAGCTCCAATAATCCAGATCAATTCAAGCTCAGTGTGTTTTGGTCATGCACTGTGAGCTGGTGTAGAAATTTGAAAACAGCTCCTGATACATTCATATTATGGAGGGTAAACACCATTAGAAAGTCAACATAATCAGATCAATTGGTTGGTAAATGCTTACAATTTGTTCAATTGCTGGTAACTAATTAAAGTGATGTATCATGCATGTGATTTCAATCCCTTCCACCCACAATTGAGATTATTCAGGTTTCTTTTCTGCTTTGGTGGAGGGATAAGATTGACTACATTCCCTGTTGTGTGAAAGTGATGGTGGAAGTAGTTAGGAGAAAGTGATGCACTATTTCAGAGAGAATCTATAGCTCCTGCTTCTCTATATGCATTATGGGATAGTATTTCCACCAAATGTAGGAATGCAATCTCATACAATTACCTCTATCTTAGGTCTTATAACCGCTGCTAATGGCTCTCTCGGTTTCATTCGGGCTCGACGGCTTAAGAAAGATCGTGTTGCCTTGCAGGGGAGACGCGGCGAAAGTCCTAAGATCGATTCACGGAGTCCGGTCATCGTGTGAGGAACGGTATTTCTGGGATGGGGTAGGAGTAGCATATACCTTTGAAAGGATTCATGAATGAGCACAAAGAAGACAGACATTTCCCCTTGAATGAAATGATACCTCCCTAAAGTGCACCCAAAGTTTGTCCTCGAGATGTTCGTCCAAGGACCAACTTAAAGGCCCAGCGACCGAGAGACGTAGATGGACGAACCGTACTGGGCAGTGGACTTGCCAGTTGAAGGAGTTAGTACTGTTTGCACAATGTACCACCAAAGGTGAACTTCTTTATTAGTGTGTTTGAGCTGTTTTCCATTTTGATCGGTTTTCTGTTATAGGTTGTGCCATTTGAAGTGTTGTTCCCTCGCGCTTTTTTCGGCGTCATGCCAAATTTGTGTTGTGATGGTGATCAAATGTGAATTGCCATAATTATGGTTGTGTGGAAACTTGTTTCGTTCATCGGCGATAGCGTGCGCCATGTTGGAAATGTCCATGGATCCTTTGCGGGCCTGATTTTCCAAACTTCTTTCGTATAGATACAAGTGCGTCGTTATAATTATGGAAGGTGTTTCAAGAATAAAAGCGTTGGTACGATCGAAAAAGACACGAGACACAATGGCCAGAAATCGCTGCTTGGGTGTGGGACAAGAGAACCGGAACCGTGCCGCGTACTATAATTTCGGTGCTTTATTTTTAAGCTCTTCATGAGCAAAAATTTTTATTTTTATTTTAGATATATACAGTAGTATCTGGAAGAGTCGAGACAACCGCTCCGATAAAAAAAAAGAAATGGTGTCTACTAGTCTACAAGCATTCCTTTAGCCAAATGGCCACTTTCCGGAAAGCTATTTCTCCACAGATTAGAATGACCTAGGCAAAGCGTGAAAATTCGTAACTCCGCTGCTCCAAGTGAATGCAAAATGTGCAAAGAAAAGCCACGTAAAGAGATTCGATCTCTGCCTGCAGACTAGCGCTAAGTTGGTGCGTTTTAATACAGGGTGTTCAGAAAGCATCTGCTGGGGTGATACGGACCCCTGTTGACATTGATGTGAAGAAAATTAGTGGATGAATTTGAATCGGGGCATGCCCTTGGTCTCGCTCACGGTCTCAAACGGTATGCTTCCAGGAAATCTTCACGTTCTTCAATTTCCTAGGGGAACTTTTCGAAATTTTGCTGAAACTCGCGCGGTTTGAGACCGTGCGAAAACAATATACAAGGTGTACCAAAATGAAAGGGACGATTACAATTTTCCTTTTTTAATGAACTGGACCAGGTACAAGGTTGAAATAACATGGTGCATTCAAAGAAACACTACAAGTTTGCCGGTGACATATCGTAGTTCATTCCCTGGCCGCTGCAGCGCTGTCGTCACCCCTAATGTAAAATGGCGTCTCGGCAGTGAGAAGCACAGTGTTGTTTGCGGTTTCACGAATCGAAATCTGTGGCTACGGTTCAGTGTCGCTTCCGAACAACATTTGGTGTTGATCCACCTGACAAGAAGTCGATCGGACGTTGGTAGGGCCACTCCGTGAATGAGGCTGCATCTGTCAAGGTAAGAGAACATTTCTGGATGAACAACTGCCCAAAAGTTGAATAGAGCGTGGGGGCCCGAAGCCTTGGCCACCACGATCTCCACATCTATCACCTCTCGACCTCTTTTTTTTCTGGGGATTCGTCAGATCATGCACACACACCACCGATGCCACGGACCATGGAAGAGCTACGAGGCCGACTTTTTGTATGCAGCCGCCCGAGTCGACGCACCTGTGTCACAGCACTCTTCAGGAAAACTTCGGGATCGCTTCGACATTTGCCGTTTAGGTCGTGGTGCACACATTCAACACTCTTAGGGAAAATTTGAAGTGGCTCTCTGCATGTGCCAAGTTACTTCATTCTTGAAGCTGTTCCGGTTAATTAAATAATGAGAATTGCAATAGTCCCATTCATTTTAGTACACAATGTATTTTAATATATTATCGAATTCAGAAGAATTGAAGCTTGAAAATCAAACTAAACATTTTCCTGTAATATTTTTCCTATTCTCAGTATCCACCATGCAAAAGGCTTTCATGCTGAAAAAATTCCGCACCAGAAAATAACAAACCAATCGAAACCGAAAGCTAAGGAAGGCAATAAGAAAAGTGAACGCTATTTCAAGAAATTTAGAAAATATGAACACATTTTGTGGGGAAAAAAAACTAAAAACATCTATTCAAAACACTTCGACTATGAAACTACTAGCCGGATTTACAATTTGCAACCTAAATCCTGCGCGACAAGAAAAATGAGACAACGGTAATACGTTCACTTTACAGAAAAGAACAATATTCAAAACGCCCAAAGAATTCTAGATTGTGTACAAAATCAAGATTCAAAATGGAAACGTCTAAATGGGAATATATTGTAACATCCATTCCATTTAAAATTTATATTTCAAATCAATGGGCGCGGTAGGGTCCATTGACATTCTTCAACCTCATCCGGGTACACCATTCAGCCGTCTCGTATTCCTCTCTAAGAGAAACAACAGGAATGAAATTTAGCAAAAAAAATGAACATGGTATAATAGAGACCCTAAAGATCGTCGGATTCTGGCCGAATGAAACTGATCCTCCAGCAAGAAAGGGTTCCTAGTATAGTGGACAGGCCGGAAAATGTTCGGATTCACGCCAAAGCGGGAGCTTCCCCAAGCGAAAAAAAAGAAAGCGTTCCTAATACAGTGGAAACATAGCAGAATCGTCAGGATCTCACGAAAACTAGATCTTCCCCTCCCGTGAAAAGAGAGCGTTCTTAGTACATTGTAAACCCCGCAGAATCCTCGGAATTTCGCCGAGGCGGGATCTTCCCCTCCCGTGAAACGAATGCGTGCCTAATGGACACCCAGCAAAATCCTCGGAATTTCGCCGAGGCGGGATCTT